AATTTTCTAGCCCTAGTATTTTGCGTTCTTTTCATTTCGCATACTCTACTTTCCTTGTGTGTCAAAAACTAAGTATGGGAACGAAGCGAAGGTCGCTCTTTGCGGCGACTAAGGAATCGGCACAATTAAAATTGATGTCAACAGCTCGCATTTTGGCTGCTTAATGATCGACAGCGCATTGCTGGGGATTTTGCTGAATATCCTCCATTTCTACATCTCTACATCCTCAAGGGGTTCTATTTTCGTTAGTCGCTCTGCTCTGTTTCTTCGCCTTTCTTTGTTTTATTTTGCACAATTTTCCCTCGATCTCTTCGCCTGTCTCGAACACTCAATTGCATAAACAAACAAATCCACAAAATAGCCATAAATCAAACAAAATCTTTTTTCCAGTCCCCTGTAAACAAAAGAGAGTTGGAGGTGTATGGGTTCTGGCGTTGACGGTTTTAGCACAGGTTAATTTAATATTTTTTCAAAATTAAGATCATTTTGATATGAATAAAGACATTAACAATAATGGTAAAATAAAATAATAAATTAGGTATTTAAAAACAGTATTTTTATAACTTATGAAATGATAAAATAGCAAGTTGATATGCTTGAATCATAAATTTGACATTAGTCATATCGGATTTTTATTGAAATGACTCTATTTCATATTCATGTCATAAAGTTCATTAGTTAATAAAATAAATAAATTACTTTGGGTCATCAGTTACTGAAATAATTATTATTTAAGCTTATAATGTTGGTTATATATTTTAAGGTATTCCAGAAAATTCCTGATTCGACCCAAACCAACGACCTGCTTTTATTTAGTTGATTCATGTCTGACATGCACTTAACACCATACCATATACCATTGAATATTTCTGAGTTTTGAGAGCACAATGCGCACACAATGCATGTTTCTGATTTTCTAATGTTTTTTTTCCATTTGTTTCGCCCACCAGAGATGTCCATTACAACGCTGCCCACTCGAATCTGCCTGGTGGGCGCTGTTGGCCAGGATGCGGACACGCTGCAGGCAGCCGAATCCTTTGGCCTGCCCATTGTCACATCGGACACGGGTCTGGACATCATCGGGGAGTCGGACTGGCGGACCTTCTACGTGCTCGACGACTTCGAGGGTGCCAGCTTCGAGGCGATACACAAGCAGAAGGAATGGTGAGTACTAGTCACCGCCACTAATAATAACTCGGTGAAACCAGAAGAGCAAGAAGGCTGCTTAATTTAGACAAAACGGGTGGGCTGGGCACAAATCTGTCACATGTGGCCAGCTGTCCGCCCCCCTTCCTCTATTTTCAACCCACTTTTTGGCTGTGAGAAGCCCAGTCGAGAGCCATTATCATCGCAGCCATCATCATGCCATGCTGAGCCGCAGCAAATTGAGTTTGAAATCGAGACACACGCACGGGGATACTTCCCCCTCTCCAATTTCCCCCCTGAACGATCCATTCGTTAGCCAGCAATTCTTAGATTGACAGCGCCAGCCATGCGCCATATATATCTTCGTCTTCCTTCCGATTCTATACCCTTTCCTCAGACTGTCAGCTGTACTTAAATGTTTAGAAAAGAAATAAACACTTTATAGATACAGGGTATAGCCCGACAGAACATTTCAATTTGTCTGTGCTTACAAATCTGTAAATTAAATGCATTTCTAGAAAATTTAATTACATTACATTCAATTATACCCATTCATAACTCGGCTTTAATGTTACCAATAAAGAAAATCTATAGAATAATAATATTCTTTAACGGTAAACAAATATTCAAAAGATTTTTCTTTGTCTATAGTTATGTTTAAATGCATTTTCAAGGAAGAAACCCAAAAGATTACACCTGTTGTATGTAAACAGAATTTTGGTGCGTGTAAAAATGATAAAATTAGCAAGAAAAACCTACAATGAAATCCATATTTTACCTCTAGTGTAAATTACTTAATAGTAAACAAAACTGATCATGATAAATGTAAATGTGTTTAAAGGTTTAAAAATCAAGGTTTAATCCATTTAATATTTGTGGATGCATATGGATCAAAATTATAAAAAATCACTAGGAATAGAACTAATATTACCTCTTAAAGGGCATATACGACTTCGACTCGTCGCAAAAAGCTCGCAATAATTTTTCGCCTGCTACAAATTGTTGTCAAATTTGAAACTTGCGCAAATGTTTGCTCTTCTGCTCTATATGTGTTCGGTCCGGTTCTGTTTGGTTCGCTTCTTGATTTTTTGCACGCTTGATTAATTTGCCTGCTGCGTAGTAATAGCCTCAAATAACATACACGCTTTTGATTCCGCCCCCAAAACACTTTTCCATTTTGTTGACTTTTTTAGGGGACCAACCTCTGCCCTGTCTCATTAGTGAGTAACCATAATTTTGCCATACTTCGGTTAGCATTTATTTACGAGCTTTTTTTGGAGGTCACCAAATGCGTTTAAGTTGTTATGAATTAGAGGGGTCGGTGGGCGTTTGCCTTTCCGTTTCATGTTTTCCCAACACGCTTTGCTTGTAAGGAAAAATGCCAAAAAGAAGCTTCTTCACTCCCCATTAAGAATTATTATTTATTTCATAGATTTTCATTCATGTTTTGGTTCGTTTTGTTATTGCAATTTGTATTTGTTTTTCACCACTTTTTTCTGCTTGCTAAATGAGCGAAAAATAAAACAAAGCTGAGGTGCGTATAAGTTGTTTTTCCTCTGAGCTAATTATATTTCATGTTTCACATTTTTTTATTGTAGTTTTCCATCTATAAATTTAATTGATATTCGCCTATAGAAAAACATAAACTGGAATTAAATTAGGTATTTGTTTATCACTTGGGAAAACTACGTAAAAAGTTTGTCTGCAGTGTCAGTTGTTTATTTTTTAAATAAATATGCACTTTCCGAGTTTGTTTTTGTCAACTGATATGAATAAATCGTGACTGTTTATTACAGGTGTATTTAATGTGATCTTTAAAATTTATATAATCTCTGTTTTGACCAAGTTGTTTGTTAGTTTAATGCACCAAATAAAAGTGCGAACGGGATCATCCTGTTTTTGAATTTAATGACAAGTAAATCTCCTTGATCTTCAAATCTTAAAACATCATTATTATATAAACAATCTTAAAAAAAGATATAAAGACAGTTTGTTGATAGAAATGCTTTTAGAGCAGTTTTCACTCAAATTTAATTTTCCTTTGATTTCCTTTTTAAAAATGTTATACAACTTACAGTTTTAATTAGTGGACAAATGCTACCTTTTATTGCACAAAAGCAGTTCTGATTAAAAGTACGCAGAACCCAATGGAAAACCGATGAAATTTTAATGAGATATTCTGAGAAATCCCAGATAAGTGGAAAGAATGACCGAAGGCACTTTAACGGCCACTTAACCTCGACCAAAATGATGCCACAAAGATCTTGTTAATCGTTGTTCCCAGCATGGCATATAGAATCTGAATCATAGGATGATCCATTCGCATAATGGGGGAAGTCTCCGAGCATTTCATTGCCTATTTTGGGGACGTAGCGAACTGAGAATGAAAATAGACTTAAAAATATAAACAAATAAAACGCTGGCATGACAATTTCAAATAGTATTTCTTCTACAGAAATCGAAAATGAATCGTTTTTGTTTTTTTGCATGAATTTCTTGGGGACATCTCTTGGGAAGCTAAAATCTGTGGTGCCATTGGCCAAGTTTCCTCTGAATCAAATGGAGGAGGTGGCATTGCAGCAATCTCTTGGCGCCAAGAATCTATAGGAATTCGTGTATATTCAAATCGAGCGATGTCAAAGTGTTGAAAGAAGCGTTTTGGGACAAAACGGAAATTCTTTGCCATAAAAAAGTTTAACAAATAGCAAAAAAAGATCAGAATTTATACGTTTTTATTGAGGCATTTATATGATGTGTGCTCTGCTGTGCTTACATATATTTAAATATTTATTATATTTCTGCGGACGAGTAGATAATTTATTTAAGTTTTGATATGGCGAATTAATTGAGGCAGAACGAGAAAAGAGTCCGCGAACGACATGTCATTGACTGTTCTATAGTTTTGACCCTCGCAAAGTTCGAGTGCCCCGTGTTCAGTCAAAGATCGGCGCACTTTACAAAAGAATCGCCAGTTCCTAGAGATGGCAGATCATCCATCCATTGTCGAGGCCGAAACCCCCAGATCCCCCGATCCACTCCAATCCGATCGCACTCATATATAAATTGTTGTCGAGCACGCGCTGCGCATTTTTATGCTTTGACTAAGCAGCCGTATTTTCCTGGGTTTTCCTTGGATCCCGAAGAGAAATATTTAATTGTTCCTTGGAATTTCATTTCTTTTCTCGCGGCTGCTTAAATATTTGTTTGGCTCAACTCTCTTTGCATTTCACCTGTCTCCGTTTGAATTTGTTTGAATTTGTTTACTGTCACCTCTCTTGGTGTAGGTTTTTTTTACACAGAAAAAAAAATTGCTTTGAAAAATATTTATTTTTGTGTCTATTTCTAACATATAACGGGAATATTAGACTAGTTACATATATTTATACAGCAAGGATATATATAAAACATTGAACATATTAAAATGTAAATAAATTAAAGTAATAAATAAAAGACATTTTTTTTATTTTAAATTAATTTTTGACAAAAATAGTAGCAAGTTGTACGTCCAACATTTTAAAGAAGAAAATTTTACAAGGCTTTATAAAGGACATTTTAAATTTGATTGAAAAAATATAACAATTAAAAAACAAAATCAAATATTATTTTAAATTAATTTTTTAAAAACATATTGTAGACTTTTTAATCCTTACAAATCGTTTTATTTAAAAACTTTGCAAAGAAACAGTTTTTCTCTGTAAATCGCACATTCTCCAACTAAGAGAGAGGTTTGCACTTCTTATAGGAATATATCACGCCTGTATAGCATTTGCCACTTATGTGCCACATTAAGTGATGAGGAGAGAACAAGCTGAAAAGTGGGGAAAATCTAGGAAGAGAGGAGAAGGAACCGAGAGGGTGGACCGGACCGCCTGGCATGTCAGGCATTTTCTATTTCCATTTTCCATTCGCTCGCTGCCGCCTCATCGTTTATTCAATAATTTTCCCAAGCAACGAGGCTGGCAGTTGTGTTTGTTTAGTTGCCCGGATAGAATCATAAACTCTTGTCGCTCGGCTCCTCCGGCTATATGTCTCAACTTATTCATATTCTGGTGCTCTGAATCAGACAAAATCGTTCCATTTGCCCGCGACAAATATTTGAGCATATGGAAACCTTCCTTTGTTGGTAAGGTCAACTGAACCTAACAGCCAGAATTGTGGGTGAAATGTGTGAATGCAAATGTAAAGTGATATGATAGTAGATATAATAAGAAAGAAGAAGTGAAAGTGACAGCAGGAAGTCAACCTGAGAAATGTCTAAGAAAGTGAAAGATCTAGTGAAAATGGAACCAGGGGAGAAAACTACAAAAGGAAGTTGGAAACTGTGAGTGAGAACCAAAGCTAAACGATGAAAATAGATTATAATAAATGTAAATTAAGAAAACCAATTCAGTAAATGGTCTTAGCTTATAAATCTCTGGAATTCGCAAAAAAATATAAAAATAAAACCACATAAAATCCATTCAATGCTAAGAATAGAATGCTTTATTCCCTAATTTTAAATGGCCATTCAAAAATACAAGTCTTTAGCAAAGCTGAGTATTATCCATGCATATCTCCCCCTAGAGATTCCATTCCAAAGAATCATTCATAAATTTTCTCCCAAAATCAAAAGCATTACTCAATGCATGCACCGCGAATTGTTTTCGAATCCCCGGCCATAATTATAATTGCGCCTTGATGAGCCACATAAATAAATGTACACACATTTTAAGTATCATAAATACGTCCCCCTACGCCCACAAAGTGCATCATTCGAAATGTGGCAAACAATGCTCGACATGTCAGGCTGCGTCAGCTTCCGCTCGATTGATTTGTTTATAAGAACTTCCGGCTTTTGCCAGTTGGGTTGAGGAATGGGTTGAGGATGGGCTATCCCAACAGCTGTCGATGTCCGGTAGGGTAAACAAAAGAGCCCTTAGTCTGATTCGAATTCGGTTCTTCAGTCAAAGTTCAGTATCATTTGTGTCCGGAATGCAAACGGGCAAGGAAGATAGCGTTACCGATACCCAACCGTTTCGAATTGAATTATGGCCACTGCAAGTGCAACTACCAAGGTCAATTGGGACATAAAAGCCAGATTGCCTTGCATAACTCAAAAGTGTGCCACATAAATATTTAATTGCCGCTCCCTTTATATCACTTGCAGTATTCTGGGACCGCCGGCTTTGAAGTACGCGGCCGAGATGAAACAGACACTGGGCCAGAATTCGCGGCCCATTTACAATTACGCGATGCGCGGCGTGGTCACTTGCTTCACGGGCATACGCAAAAAGGATGAGCTGGTGAGTGGCTGGAAATGAGTCTCCTCCTCGGTCTAAAACTAACTTTTAAATAAATCTATTTCACAGACCAAGCTGGTTAATCTCATTCATTCAATGGGCGGCTGCATCAAGAAGGATCTGAACACAAAGACCACGCATTTAATTTGCAACCACAGTGGCGGCGAAAAGTACCAGTGAGTTCTATGATCAAATTAAAACCTAAACAACCTATTCTAATATTTTAAAATATTTTATAGGTACGCCAAAACCTTCCGGTTGACCGTGGTTCGTCCTGCTTGGGTGTTTGCCGCCTGGTCGGATCGAAATTCCCTGGAGTTCGACGCCACGCAGGAGATCTTCACCAAGACGCATCGCCTGAAGGCCTTCGAGGGCCAGAAGATTTGCTTTTTTGGCTTCCCAGCGGAGGAGCATCAGCACATGGTGGACGTACTTTTAGAGAACGGAGGCGTTTGCGCCGAACTCGAGGATCCGGAGTGCTCACATGTCGTGAGTCTACCATTTTTGATACTTAATCCTAAGATGCAAGCTTTTTGGGTAGTTTGGAGTTTGTAGTTTGCATGCTTGACTTATATTTTCTGTACAAGCTTTTTTGCTGTTTTAAACGGCTCATTATTTTTACCCACCAAACCTAATCCGTGTGTCTTCCAGGTGATGCCCAATACGGGCGCAGTATTTACAAGCACTAGCACTAGCACAGATACTAACCCAAGCACCCTAACAAACAACCCACCCGAATCCCAAAACTCAGGCATTAGTGCATCGCATGCGGAGGAGAAAGAGCAACGGCAGGCTGAGGATCTTGAGCCGGCTGCAATCAAAAGGGAGGAACTGTCCCAAACGGAAACGGACAATGGAGTGGCATTGGATCTTGATCAAAAGGAGAATCAGGCCTTTGACGACGAGGATGATATACATTTTGACGAACGCCTCTTTGTGGAGGCGGCGGATATAAGAAACCCAGGAGATGATCAGTTGCCTGAATCAGATGAAGAGGACTTTGAGGAAGAACAGAAACCCAAAGAGGAGCAACCTTTAAAAGAAGAGCAAGCCGAGGAGGATGTCCAAGCCAGCACGCCAAAGACGAGTAAAATAAGGACTAGTTTAAAAGCTGCCACGCCTCTAAGTTCACCCGAAATGGATGGTATTGTCTTGGATTTCGAGAGCACCACCCAGAATATTTCGCCCATATTAAAAGCTATTGACGAGTGCGACCTGGAGACGGATGATCTGCCCGCTTCGGAGAATGATTTGAAGCGCAAGAGGGATAGCTTCGACAATGTGTCCCTGATGTCGGTGGATTCCTTTGCGTTGCCAGCGAGCACAAAGAAACCCAAGCTCATACGCACGGGATCTATTTCTAGGACCCTGCGGCGGTCCGTAAGCTTTGTGGCCGAACCACTAATGAAGACTTTAAGACCACGCAGGAGCTCAGTAGCAGACGCCTCCAGTTTCATCGGCAGCGAGGCAGCTGATAACTCGATTTGCTCACTGGCCTCCTCCATAAATCTTACCCTCAATGAATCCATCAGAAAGCCAGTCAAGGAGAAACTGCGCAGCTTTTGCGGCAGGATAACAAGAAGCAGCAGTCGTAGAACGGACAGAGGTCTCGATGGCACTCCGGAATGCTCCACCCAACTGGATAGTGGCTTCAAGACACCCAAAGCCCCCAAGCTCAGATCCACGGCCACGCCGAAAACAGCCAAGCGTCTCTTTGGCCCCGTCTCCGGTGTTGTTTCCGCTCTGACCCTAACTAACCCATCCACACCCATTCTCAATCCCCTCCCTAATCCCAATCCCACTGCCTCCCTGGATGCCAATGATTCCGCCACCCACACGTTTGCTTTCTGTGCTGCTGCCGTCACGCCTGCTAAGCCACCACCATCATCATCATCGTCATCTCCCATACTATCGACTCCGATCGCTGTACATAGCTCGGTGCTAGTAATTAAGTCTCCCGAAGAGTCGACAACGAGGCGTTACAGCCCCGCCCACATAGAAGAGCCCATGCCAATGGTACTTTTGAAATTCATAAGTGTTTTCTGTAAAGGATCGTCATTTTTAAAGGAGACTTTTCGAAACGGCAAAGATTTTGAAGAGGAAAAAAATATTATAATTGGTTTAAAACCTATAAACCATTTGATTTTGCATTCTAGATATTATTATCGTAATATTAGGGTACCAATGTTTCCCAAAAACGAATCATTCAATTTATTCATGATCTAACATTTTACTATACTATTTTTAACCAATTTTCAGCTTTAGTATTGAGAATTTCATCTGTGTTTTATATTTCAAAGCCATATATTTTAAAGTTCTATGAGAAATATCTAAAATACTTGTTTCGCCTTTCTTCCATGTTTTTATTGCGTTCAATAAATTCTGTTCGAGCATTTTTAACATTATTTCAGTTGCTGTACCACGCGATTTTCCCCAATACCCCGCCATCCATCATCCAGCCTCCTTCCATCCCGAATCCCAAATGTTTTGTTAATTGTTATTTAATGGTCATGCCGTAGCTTAAGTCACAACTCATATAACATCTAATTTGGTGCGGTGTCTGGAATTTCTTCTGTAAATAACTTTGGTTTCCTATGGTCTATTCACTATACTTTTCTGGCCAGCGCACAAAATAAAAAAAACAACCAAACACAGCAGCACAATAAATATTGGAATAACATTTATTCGCAACACACAAAACACACACACCCCTCACACACACCGGTTATAGACTTTCGTTCAGCTTGAATAAATGTTAAAAATGCCGACTAGAAAAAAACGTAGATAAATAAATTGAAACAAATGAGAAATGGAGAGAAGAATAGAATCGAGCAAACCTTTACTCGTCTAGCACGAGCGATTCCTTCGCATTTTGGTGAATTATTATTATTATTTTCTTGATGGATTAACAAATATTTACACAAATGTTACCCGTTCTCGGGGCAAAAGAATTTGCATTAATGTTCCGTAGCTTCACACTCTTGCCTCGTTTCGTTCGCCAAGATCTTTGCCGTTTCAAAGTGCTGCCAAAAATGTGCACTAAAAATGTTTTGTTTGGCCTTTTTGCATTTGATGAATGTGTTCAAAATTTATTGTGCTTGCTGCTGCTGTGCCGAGCTATATCTTTATCTATATACCATCTATATAGACGCTTGATTGACTACGTTTCGTATAATCTAAATTAGGCAGCAAACAAAACATTTTTTTCTGCGATCTAGCACACATTCCGCATCTCTTTTTGAAATACTAAACTAAACGTCTTGTCTTCTTGCCATTCAGGTGGTTGACGAGCACTCGACTGTGACGAAGCCGGAGCCCAAGAATAATCACACGCACATCCTGAAATCAGACTGGTTCTGGTATACCATACAGAATGGCTATGCCAACGAGATGGACTATCTGTTTGGCGACGTAAGTGGATTACTCATACTCTACATGCTGAAATTAACAATTGATTACCTTCTGAATATTTTAGTATTTGGACAGCATCACGAATACACCGAATACAGATCGTCGGGATTCGTTACCCATTAGCTTTAACAAGCGGAAACGCAAGCGTTTCTCGCAACGCATCATCCTGGAGGGCACGCCCTTGGGCTCTGGAAAGCGACGCTCCTCCGTCTCGGATGCCGGTCAACTGTCCGTTTCGAATAGCTTCTTCGACTGCACCACCAGTCCGGATAAACTGGAGTCAGATAAGTTGCTGCATGCCGAGCCGGAGGCGAGTGATGCCACGCCAGCCAAGAAATCGATGCGTTTCAACCACTTTATGGACTTCTATACCACAGAGTCCAACTATGTGGGCATATTGGATACCATACTGAATGTAGGTTGAATAAAATCTTTTTCATTGTATCCTATTAATTTATTTGCTCTCCTTTTGCAGCTCTTCAAAAATAAACTGGAGGAGTTGGCCGAGACCAATGATCCGCTGCTTAACAAGTCCGAGATCAAGACCATCTTCGGCAACTTTCTGCCCATCCACGAGGTTCACCAGAGCATGCTGGAGCATCTGCGCAAGCTGCATGCCAACTGGCGGGAGGATTGCCTCATTGGCGACATTATCATCCAACACCGCGACGAGCTGATCAAAGCCTATCCGCCGTACGTGAATTTCTTCGAGCAAATGAAGGAGCAACTGCAGTACTGCGATCGGGAATATCCCCGTTTCCACGCCTTCCTCAAGATCAATCAGACGAAACCGGAGTGCGGCCGTCAGGGGCTGCAGGATCTGATGATTCGGCCGGTACAGCGGTTGCCCAGCATCAGTCTGCTGTTGAATGACATCCTGAAGCACACGAGCGGCGGCAATGCGGATCACGGACGATTGGAGGAGGCACTGAAGGCCATTAAGCAGGTGACGCTGCACATCAACGAGGACAAGCGGCGGACTGAATCGCGCATGGCCATCTTCGATATATTCAACGATATCGACGGTTGTCCGGCGCATTTGGTGAGCTCCAATCGCAGTTTTATCTTGAAATGCGAGGTAAACGAGCTCTCCGACTCCCTGAGTGGTCGTGGTGATAGTCTGGTCCTGTACCTCTTCTCTGATTCCATCGAGCTGTGCAAGCGACGTTCAAAGGGTTTCAATACCGCCAAATCACCGAGCACCGCCAAGACGCATAAGCATCTCAAGCTGATATCGCTGAATACGATACGGCTGGTGATCGACATCTCGGACAGTCCGCGGGCCTTTGGTTTACTTTTGCGAGGCGATAAGGAGAAGCTCTATACGTTTACGATCAGCGACGAGGAGACGGACAAGTCGGTGTATGTGAAGAAGTTGTGCAACCAGATTGCAGCTCACACTTGCCGAACAGATGCGGTAAGTAGAAGACTATATAGACTTAGAACCTGGAACTTATGTTTATATTCTTGTCTTGCAGGACAAACTCTTGATTTGTCGTACCTCCCAGGAACTGGAGGTGGACATAAGCGATGTAAATGTCAGCACGCTGAGCAAGGCCTTCAAACTGGCGGCCAAGACGCGACTTAAGGTGGGTTTTTTGAAGTGAATATGAGAATAGCAACTTTTATAATACAAATATTTATCATCTTCTTAGGTGGGTCGTGCCTTCTCCTTTAACAAGACGCCCAATAAGCTGAAACGGGCCGTTTCCACCATGATGACTTCGCCTTTCGGCAGCACAAACTCCCTGACGCCCGCCTCTCAATTGGCCCAGATGCGTTTGGCCAGCTGCACGAATATAAACGTGTGTAAAAGTAGAGAATCGAAATGAGCAACCACTAATGTTTAACCATATCATTTTAGGAGGTGGATGATGAGGACTGCGCCAGCATGCGAAGCAGTTCGCCGTCAACGCAATCGGAGATGCTAGTGGTGCCGCCACTCTCGGTGCAACCCACGCGGAAAAACAAGGCCGTTGTGGGCCGCATTTAGAGCTGATGAAGATGATGATGACTCCGCAGTCAATTTGTGTATTCCATTTTGCAGTGCTATTCCTTGGGCATGGGTGGCCCATGTTCGAGTGCTGATGCAACCTTCGAATTCGTAATCTCACAAAACAACCAGAAACATAAAATCACGCGTCCAATATTGTCTAGATTTTAAAATGTATCGTTAAGTTGCACCTGTCGATGTGAAGCTCGCGAATGTTGAAGCGTTCGCCCGAGCTATCGATTGACCATGATTAACTTGTATATAGTTCTCCATATTTGTACTCTCCCGTGCCCGAATAATTGTGTCGCGTCGCTAAATGTAACCAACTACTCATTGCAGTGACTAGGGATCGCATTCACGCACGCACCGAACGATCGATTCGAATGGGTTTCGGTTTCGGTCGGATGATCGCCACACCGCAACAAGCTGTGAATGTTTACTGAGTAAATTTTTTAAAAACCCTATCTTACTATATTGATTAAAGCTCAACGATTTTGCTTGAGTAGGCAATTACGGCCCTAAGTCGTAAGGCATTCAAAGCATGATGATGTTTAAGTTAATATATGAACAATGATTAAAGAAAAATATTTTAAAAGCAATGTCATTTTTATTCTCTATAGTTTAAAGCAACAAAGTAGGCAACAAACCATTTTCAACCCCAAAAGATGCCAATATTAAGCGTAAGAAATTTCGTTCTTTAATTTAGTTTCTCAAACAATTTTGTTCAGGCATTTCCAAGTAATCGTTCATAAACACTAAGCCAATCTAATTTTCCACACATACGAATCTGGTGTATAAAAATAAAAATATGATAACGAAGAGGACCTCATGACTCCTTTTAGAGAGTGTAAACCGATTTGACGCCCGAATTGATTTTGCACATTGCATCGGAATGAAGTTGATATTGCAGATTATGGGATTGCAAATGCAGTAGCATCTTTAGCTTCTGGCCAATCTCGAGAATGGCCATTTCGTTGTTGCCATTGGCGGTCCAAACGGCTGAAATAAAGAGTTGTTAACTTAATATAAAAGAGATTTGTAGAACTTACAAATCTTGTTGCTCTTGGCTCGTATGTTGATAACAGCGCCGCAGATTTCATCGGAATAGTCGAAGGTCTGGCCCACCATCATCAGGAGAATATCCAGCCAAATGCGATCCAGTTCCACCTTGGCACTTTTGCCCACTGTAACCAGCCAGCGACCTCCTTTAATATTCGCCTCATCCTCCCACATGGGTCTTAAAAATAGAGAAAGGATTATTATTGGGATCTGTAATAATAGATAATCTCCCCCTACTTTATGCACTTCTTGAACATGGAGTAGTCGCATCCAATCTTCAGCTCCGATGGGGTCTTGATGGTATAGTACAAGCTCCAGAAGGTCTCCACACTGTCGATCTGGGTGATCTCGTTCAACATGTCCTTCCAGTGCTTGGTGCGATCGTTCTCCAAGTACCACAAAGTCCACACATGCTCCAGAGGATGTTTGTACTCCACTTGGTATAGCTCCTCATCGATAAGCTCCTGATTCTTGCTCTCCTGTGGAAGACCTTCCTGATTTGGATTCTCTAGCTGCTGATGCTGATCCTGCTCCTTGAAATCAAAACTATGCACTTGTGCACTGGCCATGATGTTGGTTATGGTTTTGTTTCGCTACAAACAGATTACTTTAATTTATATGTTGACCTCAACGGCTGTGGTCTCAACGAATTTAGTTGCGATTCGAGTGGGAATTGCTTACGGATAACCAAAAATACTTTAGCACATTTTTCTAAGACCTAAACGAAACGTATCGAAAAGAAGAATATTAAACAATGACACCTACTCGTTGTTTGAATTCAAGTAAACAGAATACTATGCTGGTTTTATAATATAAATTATTTTTATTCATTTATAAATACTGCAAAACTTAAGACAAACAAAATGTACATATTGTAAACATAGAAATGCGCGCTTGGTTCTTAAAAAAATTAAATGATAACGTATAAGGATTAAAAATTAGACACTCTTTTAAAAGTGGTCAACTAAACACTAAGCGGAGGCACTAGAGAAAAACAAAACTAAGAAGCTACGGGTATACAAAATTAAATAAAGGTTCAGAGCTTTTCTTTAATTCTTCGTGGTTTAAAAATAGGTTATCCAGATGTTTAGACCCACAAAACAGCGGCTGCATCTTCGTTTGATAAAGTGGAGAATCGCTGATAGCGATTCGCATTGCGATAGGTTTTTGAGGGCGATTGGCTGGTGGAAATCTGAGCTTGAACCTGGACTTGAATCTGAGTCTGGTTTTGCAGTGGCAGTCCCACCATATTTAATCCAGACTTCAAAGTGGAGTTTCTGCTGTCCGAGGACATGGACAGGCGTCTCTGGTTCCCATTCATCAGGGTGGAACTCAGGGGCAAACCCACGTCGTGAAAGGAGCTAATTGAACTGAAACCACTCTCGTCTTCTGTACTGGAACCGCTCTGCTTATTGCTAGTGGGCTTGATACCACTACTGCTGATGGCTGTGCTGCTGGCATTGGTCTGCGTCTGCGTCTCCTCGTCCGTTTCCACTTTCGAGGAAGAGGACGCCGTCGAGGAGATGGTGGAATGCACGGAACTGTCGGTGGAGCTGCGCAGCGATAGCCTCGAGTCCCTCATGTTGTTGGCCCGCAGAAAGATCAGTTCCGCATTGGATTTGCCAGCCGGCGACGGAGTGGCCTCCAGAGTGGCATTCATGATGCTGGTGGAATTGTGCAACGGTGGCGTCAGCAGCGTCATCACCGAACTGGTTTTCCCCTTGCACAGGCGATGATTTCCCGAGGGCAGCGATGAGATGGAGGCCAGCGAGTGACGCGGCTGCGTGAGATCCGGCTGCTGTTCGGAGGTGAGCAGCAGGTTCCTAATGGTTCTGGCCAACCGGAAGGCCTCCTGGTTGAGCTTCTCCTCGGCAGCCTCGGGAGCTGAGAGACGCGCCTTGCAGCCACCACTGCCTCCGGATTTCTTCGGGGAGCGACGCCTATTTGGGAAACAGATAATGGTCATTTATTTATAATGTAATTATCTCTTAATTTACTGAAAGATTAGCATTAAAGCAAATTAAACCATTTATAAAATCAGTTATCAAATTAATATTTTTTTTTAATATGGCTAATTTGATTCAAATTTTTCAGTCTTTTGGTAATTTATAGCTATAATTTAAAGTCTCCCCTCACCAGGTAAAATCCTTGAAGGCATTATAGCTCCCAGCTGGAGCAATCGTCTCGTAATGTTGCTCCTCATTCATGGCATGCATTGATTTATTCAACATCAAATTGGTACTGCTCCGGGCGCGCAGATATGAAGCGGATCCGGCACTCGAGGCGTCATCATCGCGGGGATCGCTCTGCAGGGAGGAGTTGCCCACGCCGTGGACATGATGGAGACTCTTGGAGCGGGCGATCTGCTCGCCATTGCGATGGGTCTGCTGGAGTTGCTGCTGCACCTGGTAGCGCTCGAAAAAGCGGGCCACTTCCTCCATCACCGCGCGATACATCTCGCAATTGGTTTCGGTCTGAAATAAAGAATTTGTTTTATAAGTATGACTTAATTATATATTAGTATCATTAATCTTTAAATACAGTATTAATTGTTGTAAATTTCCCTTCTATATTTTTCATAATTTCTTTTATAAATTTATAAATTTCAATTATAAATCATAATTATGGATAAATAAGTTTCTGGCCAACTCATCTTGCATTTCCCCACCAACTCTTATGCTTTTGCCCCAATGTGCCAGGTCATTGTATTGACACTTTGATAATGCATTTGAACCGATGACTTTAATTTATTATTTATGTTAATTGTAAAAATGATTTTGCTTGGCAGCAAACATTTGTGGAGCATCGGCATCATCGTCATCAGCCTATAAAAACTTTCACTTGATTTGTTATCTCGCCTCTTACTCTGCGCATTTCTCTACAGACGGCTTTGTGCTGTGGGTCTTTGGGCCATTCGATTCGATTCCAGCATCTTTGGCCAAGATGTCGGGGGAATGTCGCTTTTGGTTAACTTCTGTGAGCCAAATTGTCTAATTATCAAATGCCATTCGAGTCTATGGCGCTTGCCAAATTGGCAGAGACCTCAAAAAGGCGTTAAGATTGCCGATTGCCATCACCTGGCACACGCCCACCTCCCCGGCCATTTGAAAATTGGCCAAAACGGGTGGGTAAATATCCATATATATATATAAACATCTATGTATATCTGCGGGTTTTCGGGGTGGGCTTCACACGATGCCAAAATAGTTGGTGTCTGGCTGATTATGTAAGTTGGCGATGCAGTTGTTGCTTTTGCTATTTGCTATTGCAACGCTGGAAAATTGTTACTAATTTTTCATTGGACGTTTTTCCGTTTTCGGAGTTTTTCCTACTGCGTGTTAGCAAGGGGTTTTCATTCGAATTACGAATTGTTTTTCGTGTGTCTGAGATTTATTTGAAAATTATGTGGAAATGTGCTGCTGCTGCTGCTGTATTTGATTTCGATTTTGTTATGGTTTGTTTAATTTCATTAATGCCCAAAGTCGAGCAATTGGAGCTGAGAAGAGGATAATAGGATTTATATTCGCAGTCGGATTCACACTCAGATTCAGATACGCTTGGCTTAGCAGCAGCTTCACTTTTCCACCATTCAACGCATTTCCTGGCTGCACCGGTTAGTTGAGTTTGGGATCTCCCTGCGGGGTGCATAAATTAAATGCGGTCTCCTCCCATCGACTGCTCAATCAATCAATCAATCAATCTCGCCAGGGTTCCTCCCACGCCTCCTGCTTGGTTTTTCATTTCACTTATGATGGCAAAACGGTTTTCCACGCGGTTTTCCTGCCTTCTAACCCAGTTTTCCGTTCGCCAAACAAGAAACGGACCAAACTGTAGAAAATATTTATCTTTTCTTATTATTTCTTCTTTTTTTTTCTGGTTGCTTTGTTTTCTTTTGCAATTTTCCAAGGCGCAGACCGCCGGCTTTCCAAGTCAACTTCATTGGGGCTCATTTAAAGCGCATTAAATCGAAATGAAAGCGTAAATATTTTCGCTCTTTCAGCGGCATCCGTTGGCTGATTATGCGTTCGTTGCATAGAATCGCCTCGAATTGAAAGTGTTCGGAGGGGAGAAACTGACCAGGTGGGATCTCGGATCCCAGATCTCAGCATATGAAGGTCATCACGTTGGTTCGGAGTTCAAAGTTGGTTTCGGTCAATTGGGAGCAGAGTCGGCTTAGTGGACTGGTCTAGTTTTCGATTGGGGAAAATCACAGACAACTGGGAAAATCTAGTCATGAAGCACGAGAAAAGTGAGCTTGGCTAAAGAAAAAATTACAAATTTTAATTTAGTTGTTGATGCCTAAATATTTTAAAATATTAATATAATATTCCGTTTTAAAATTTAAAACGTTTATACAATTTTTTTATATATAAACAGAGAACAGTAGCTGAAAAATATCCAACTTTCTCACAACCTCTCGTAACCTTTCTAACTTCCTATTCCCCAACACCAACAGCATACCTATAATTTGTAAATTCTTCGCAGCTACTTTAATCAATTCAATCTATGGGAGTACCTCCAGAATTCCTATTCAAGAATTCTCCTCAATGCCCAAGTCATTTCATTGATGGCCAACTTATTATTACACACCATATAGATACCAATCAGAATTGTTTGATTCAATCTTGCGCTTCTCACTTTTACGATGAAGTTTCAGAACGCAGAAACCCGTCAGCTCCATTAGCAACCTTTTGTGAGGAAGTATAAAATTAATGCACCTGTTGGCCGAAGGAAATGGTCGAAAGACAATGAAAGACACGATGACCAAAGACCAGAACAAAGCAATATATAGAAGAGGCCGTCCGACCACACTGCGAGTCTATAATTAAGCGTCAGAGAAGAATTCTGCCGCCTAATTGCGATGGGGCAAGACATTTTGCCCTAACTTGGGAGGAACTATGGGGAAAGGAAATGACTCGATTGATGCACGAGAAGAAAAAAATATAGGTGATTCGTTTCATTACGTAACAATATTTGTATTATTTTATTTGATGAAACATTTAAAAATTTATCTGGAAATTATAAGGATTTCCGCTTTAAAAGAACTGAAATCCGCTCAGCATGGTATCATTAAGATTGTAAATAATTTCCTAATTAATTGTATTTCAAGCCTTAACACTCGATCTTTTGATATTTTTAAACCCTTTAGGAAAAATGCAAAATTACAACATTTTATTTAATAAAAAGGGATATTTTTGAATTTTTTTTTATAGTCAGAATAAAACATTCCCTTACCCAAATTTCAGTGTAAAAGAACCGAACCTAACAAGCGACCCCATCTGGTTACGGACTCGCTCCCCACATCTCTTACGTTTCCATTTCCATTCCGATTTGAGTAAATTAAGCGTGAGAACTATTTAAATAAAAAATGCTAGAGACAGGAAAACAGGTTGATCCAAGGAGGGCAACAGTAGTCGGTAGCCAAAGCAGATCGAGATTGAGATGGGGTTCGGTATGGTGTGGTGTGGGGTTGTTGGGTTGATTTGGCACTTAACATAGTTTCCTCCAGTCGAGAGAACAGAAATCACAAGTCACGTTTGTGTCTTGAGTCTTTTGTTTGGCTTTGCGGATTTCTTGGCCTGCCTTTCGCCGGCTCATTTACTCACCTGTTTCAATTGCCAATGCAATGTATCCACCTGATTCTGCAATATGACAGCCTCGACATTTAGTTGATGTTGTTGTTGCTGCTGCTGGTGGTGGTGGCGATGCTGTTGGTGGTGCTGATGTGGCTGCAATTGCTGTGGCAAGTCGTAGATGTGGCTCTGGATGTGGTGGCTGGGTGCGGCCATGATGCTGGCATCCTGCAAATGTTGTCACAAATAAATACATATATGGATAAGTTAAAGAAAAATGCCAGCGAAAAATGCGCGTTAAATTAGCTGTGCAAAAACGAAAATTGCAATTTGAAAAATGTTGTCAAAGTGTTGGACAACCACCCAGTGGCTGGTTCGCATTTAATGCGAAATTGCGCACAAAACCCGCACGAAAAGCGGAAAGGCTCAGGTGAGCGGCTTTAACACTAGCCAGAGCCCAGCCAAAGTTGTACAATTAATTAGAGAAAATTATTTATACAATACCTAGCCTCCTCCTTTGTATTTATTTTATACGTTACTCTACACACTGCTCGCCACTAAATTTCTGGTATACTTAACATTTTCCACATTTATTAAGGCTGTGGATGCGAGCTGCAGATAGCTGGTCAAGCGCATAACCCGTTTGTCTCTGGCCAACCATGTTTTTATATTACTTTGTTTTTAATTTTTGCCCATTTTTTATGTACACGGCTTACTTTTTCTTTTATAACGTCATTTTTTCAAAGACTTTGACCCACAACTCGAAAAAATAAATGGGGAAAAATAAAGAAGCATAATATGACAAAATGTTGGACTATTAGACACATTTAGACACTACTTGTGGAAAAATAAAAAAAAAACTATAAAAATTCTTTATTTCTAATTTTTTTCCGATTGTGACTAATGCAAAAATAACAGAGTAGAAATACTACTATTACTCATGAAATAAATAATATTAAAATAATTTCAGTGAAAATAGATTTTTTTATGCAAAAATAAATTGCTAAGTAAAATTATAAAATATGTGAAACATTCAGGATAGTTCAAATAAAATTTAGCAGTCATTTTTTAATAATTTATTAATAAATCATTGTTAAATTCGGTAATAAAATTAGTCAAAAAGTAAATAAAAGAAAAACCGAGAAAGACAATTACTCTTCAAGTTGCTACATAAATCACTTGAAGTCTGACCTCCATTATTTGGACCATCTAATGTTGTAATATCTTTTAGCCCAATTTCCACGCCCACGCTCACGCCCATTGCCCAAAAGACAAATTACCAAAAAGGCAAAGGCGAAAGAAAAAATTATGAATTTTCATCAAATTTGATTGCAAATGTTTGTTTGCCTTGTTGTTGCCGCAATGTAAATTATCATTTGCGGTTTTCCAGACTGCCACGCCCACACACGGGTCGCCACGCCTCGCCTTCCATTTCCACCGGAGGGAAAACCAAAAATGTGGTCAGCTCAAAACTCAATTTGGTGCAATTTTACGCTTGTTAATTAATGCATTTGCAGCCATTTTTTTTGTTGTTGCTGTTTCGCTTTTGATTTTGATTTATTGATTATGGGCATAACGGACCAAACAAGATTCGGCGTGGAGATGAATGGGCTTCGTTGCCCCAAAGGCCGAAATAGGAAATAAATAATTGTTTATAAACAGCTTTAAGCGTGCGCATTGGTAATATTCATGCTATTTGTTTAAAATATAATATCCATAATTATGGCCGAACGGACATGGAGCATATAATTTGTAGACTATTTATTTTTCACTCTATTAATTAAAAACTATTTTTCCGGAATGCAAATGATAAAGGAAGAACACTATTTTTAAACAATACGATTATGAACTATTTCCTGAAACCAAATTGAGCGCCTTACTAATCCAAAAACATATTTCGTGTGAAATATTACTTTCTCGCATTCCCATTAATCCATTCATGGATTTCTGCAATTACACGTCAGCTAATTTGCATATGAGAATATTCCCAGAAATGAAGAACAAGTTTCTTCCTCCTTTCCAATTCCGGAATCACTTGTCAATTATATTTTAATGCATTTTCATTAGGTTTTAATTAAAAATATCTTTGGACAAGCGAAGCCGGCTAATTTCCATGGCAATCTAAACGGAAAAGCAATTACGTAAAAGTATAATGCATACGAAAATCCACTTCTCAAGTAATCAGTTCTCAACTTTGGCTCCAGACTTTTGCAGACATAATTGGATTCTTGTGAAGCAACCTTCCACATTCTCAACTCAAACTAATTTGCATGAGGTGGAGTTCAGAACCCAAACAATCTAATTAAAATGCGCGTTACAATTCACAGGCAAACAAGCAGGTAGAAAAGGTAGATAGTCGAACCTCTGGAAAGGGAGAACCAGAAATAAAGTGAGGGGGAGGCCAGATAACCTCGTTCTGTAACCAAGACTTTGGCATCTAAAACTTTTCTGTTTTCTTGGTTGGCAACAAAATGTCAATTGCAAATGCAATTGCATATCTCCAGTAAAGGAATCTTGCACATTCACATTTAAACCTACATATTTAAATGGGTGCACATAAAAAGAATGTGCCCATTTACTCTAAATAGAAGAACAGTGGCATCAAGAAATTTTTTAACTAAAAAATGTTTTTATAAGTTAAAAAATAAAACATACAAAAATTTTAAACTGATTAAAAGTTCATATTATTAAAAAGTGTTATTATTTCTAAATTATCTACGCATTTAATAATATATATTTGAAAATGTTAAATCTTTATATCACAAAATTCCAAATATTAAAGTTTTCAAGTCTTTTATTTTCCCTTAAATTTTAATTTATTATTAGTGCTTAAGCCACTGTATTTTCAACAGGAACCTTTGGTATGGGGTTACTTCCCACCCTTTTGCCCCCGAGCTCATCAATGTGCTATTTATATGTAATGAAATAAAACCGCTGCAACAAGCAGAAGAAATCTGCATTTCAAATAGGCAGCAACAGCAAAAGCAGCAAACAATTGCATGCTCCAGTAATCTGCAATTGAAGGAGACTTTGGGGGCTTGAGGGGGAGTTAGCAACAAGTGTGCTAAAAAGGGTTTCCACACACGAGAGAGATGGGGATAGTTAGCCAGAAAGAGAGAGAGGATGGCCAATTCCCAGGCTCCGCCATAAAACTTGGCTCGTCTCCATTACCAACTCGATGTCGTTGTTATTTAAATTGTTTTGCGCTAGAACCGAGGCAGCGGCATGTTTTTTTTTGAGGGGGGGTGGTGGAGGAGGGGGCAGTGCATGTGTGGGTGTGGCAAATGGGGGAAAAGGGTCAAATAGCAGTTCACGCTTCGCTGACGAGTTCCCCACAATCTCCAACAGATCCGACTCGGTTTATTTAGTCTGCTATGCGATCACAAAAACATTTCAGACTAAATAACTAAGCCCATTTGTTGTTAAACAATGAGGCTGCAACAATTAAAGTGTTGCAACAGGAAGTGCACAAATAAGGGGTTTTATGCGAAGATACAGGAAGGAACACAAGTAGAACAAAAAAGGAATATTTATTAACTATAATTAGAATTTTTTAAGATTAAAAATGTGTAAATTATTATTTAAATTAGTAATATTAATATTAAAATGTTTTAATAAATACTATATTTTTCTATGCAGATAAAACTAAAAAATTGAAATTAAAAGTGATTCAAAGGGTTACGAATTTAAGGTTTTTAAAGCCCAACTTTCCACCCAAGGACTAGCCACAACAGCAAAGTATAAATAAAGACGTGCATAAATTGCAAAACCCCAACTAATTGCCGACCAAATAATGTTATTCATCCGCCGACCAAAACCCTGACTAATTCGATTAAGGGCTTAAGATTTTGCATTATTTCCCTTTTGGCCATGCTTGGCACACTTTCGGCTTTAAATTCAACTTCCCCTTTGTATAATTTTCAAGGCAAACAGACAGAAAGTGCAAAGAAAAGGGAAAATGAAAAGAAAAATGAGCTTGAAAATATTATGCCATTACAATGAGATGAAGCTGTAATGAGTGGGTGGTGGAAATTGAGGGGGTGGAGGTCTGTAAATTGCATGGATTTGCTGAGCAATTTGTGTATGGCAGTAATGCTGCATCTGTGGCCTGCCCCGAATGGAATTCAGCTCTGAATTTCGCTCCATCACAGGCTGGATATGGATAATTGTCATTATGGTAATGGCCAAAGATCTGCATTTGGCACGACTTTCTCACATGACAAAACCAAAACACAAAACAATGACAAACTTGAATTGTTTTTACTGTTTGCTTTGGCAATCCGAAAGATTCGCTGATTGCTGTTTATTATTACGATGGCTTTTGCCAAGGAATTTCTGCGCATTTCTGTCGCAGGTTTTTGTTTGTTTTCCGTTTTCATTTTCATTTTGTCATTTGCACGGAAATTGGGTTAATTTCAAAACAGCATTTTAGTCGAATCCGACTTCCTCGCACTTGGACTCGAGCATTTGAATGTTGCGTGACGTGTGCCCTCAGCTGGAACTATTTTCGATCAAAAAAGCAGCTCCGAAGTTGCCAATGATTGGCCTGAAGATGGAGACGGCGACGTGGATATCTGTCAACGGGTTTGACCTTCATTAGGCCCAAGCTTGGCTGATTACCTGCAATGTGTCAGTGTCTATCGCCGCCCATCTCCCCCTTACACGTGCAAAAACTGGTTGAATACAAGTAAATGAGATACCAGAAATTAAATTTAAAATTTTTATTTTTACAAATCTATTTTGGTTAATAAGATGATAGTTGAAAATTATACTTTCACACTAAAAAATATCAAAAACCATTATTATAGGTGATCTGAAATAATTAAATGTAATTTATTTTCCAAGTTTTAGAATACCTATTTACCCAGCCCAAACAATTACTATAGATGACCTGAAAAAACTAAATTTATATTGTAGGTATTGCTAGAATATCTATTAAATGTGTAATACTAAAAGGATATTTATGATGGTAAATATTTCTGATTTCTTTAATTTTAAATTTTAGTACACGAATGAGTTTAGCAAATTTTTATATATTTCTTTTTTAGGAAGTGCATTATTTTTGACCAAGACCGTTTTTCGAAGTGCACAGTCTGTAGTCTCTTCCCGCTTTTAAATGTATTAAAGTATTCCAACTATTCCCCGCCAATTGCATTGACAGTGAACCAAAACCAAAGCCAACAATCAGCGACAGTCGTCGAGCGACGGACTGGCTTGGCTTTTGTTTA